ACTTAAAACTTATTATAAATATAATTAAATATTAAAGAGTTAATATTAATTATTATAATTAATTTAAGAAAATTAATTTATATTATTATATTATATTATTATACATTTTATAGGTATTTATAGGGTACTTTTCTTTTTCTTAGGTTACCTATAGTATACCTAAACCACCTACATAATAAAATAGGTAGCACACGAATAAACTAAGAAAAACTTGGATACCCACGGGTGCCCACGGGTACCCGTTTTTACACTCTAGGAATCGGCCTGTCATCAAATGCCTGAACCGGCTCTTGTTCCGGATCTCCACAGCGCGCCAACAACTCCTCATCAGACCAGAGATGAAATTCCTGCGGGAGTCTGAGTAGGACGTTGCCGAGATGAAGGTCTGAACTCGGTCAAGTCAGTCGGGCAGCGGGACAGCGAACAGTACTGGCACTCACCTCCGTGGACAAATCCCTTACCATGCAGATAGGCAACCGCAAGAATTAACTGAGCTGCGATAGCACGCGCAACGGGCAGCATTAGAGGTGCGTAGGATCCTCTGCGTTTTGCCTCGTTCACGCTGCATCGTGCAACGTCAGTGACCAGGCACGTATGGGTGCCGAGGGGGCCATTTATGTGAAATGTGTTGAGAAGTGTTGGTATCATACCTCGGCCCAAGGCGTCGTCGAACTCAGACGGATTCCGTAAAAGGGACAGAATCTCAGACTCTCGCGGGCTCGCGTCCGCCGTGCAGACTTTAACCGCAACGAGTCGCTGGTGCGTCTCATCTCGCGTGAGCCAGACAGTGGAATAGCTGCCGTGGCCGAGCTTTTATAGTACATAGCAACGACCGCCAAGTCGATCGCCGATGGCTACAGGATGGTAGCCGCCAGGGCCATGTCTGTAAAAAGGTTCTGCGTCGTCGACGGCGTGAAAATAGATGTTCGAGTCCGAGTCAGATGTCCCACTGCCATATGGGGACTGTGCCCTTGTGTTGCTTATGGCGCGACGTGACGAGGCCCAATGAGTATGGCTGAGCCGAAATGAAAGGCAGCCGACGCCGCAAGCTGGAGCTGCTAATAGGGGAAACAAAGGAGAAAGAAAGCCTTCACAGCTTCGCACAGCCATAGATGGCGTTCTCGTCGCCACTGAGATGAGAGTTGTAGTCAGTCTTGATTATGCAGATGGGTGGTTTTGTCAGGGGATGAAGGAAGGTTGACAAGATGAGGTCGTGGACCATATGGGAAGGCGCAGTCGACTTACGTAAGCTCTTACTCATCCCTCACACATGGACATGTATCAAACCCGTAATATGTTGCTTTGAGAAAGCTCTCCAAACTCGGTTATTTAGAGCAAGTAAAAGTCGTAACAAGGTCTTGGCTGGGGTAACGTCTAACCAGACAGAAATACCCCGCACATAGTCAGTGGTACTTTGTCCAGAGTACGGAAATTGTCGGCACGTAGTACTTCAGGCAGGCTACAGATTTCTGAAAGTAACTAGAGGCAATCACTGCATGTGGCTCATATATACGCCAAAAGGTCACTTTCGTCTATATACCTTCATCAAATCCGGGCTTGATAGTTGATTAGCTTGTTCCACTCCTTGATTGCAGCTTGGGAGGGTTATAATCAAGCTAGGATTCTTGAATAATAGGATGGCCCAATTTTCGTCTCTTAATAGCGGATTACAGTTAAAGATCTACAAGTAATAAATTCAACGCATCAGTTGGGGAGTAGCTGATGGTACGGTCATTCCCACATGTTGTCAGATTTCTGGAGGAGTACTACTCCATTTCTTGCTCTCCCCATTCGCCTCGCAATATATCGCAGTACAAGTCGAAAAAGTGTATCGCCGCTTCCACGAGTAGTTTGACCCAGAAATTCTCTAGGAAACGAAGTATCGTACCGTCCAAAGATGGCAAACTGCCAGATGTTCCGGTCGGAGCCACCTTGGCTTGCGCCCTTATTCCCTCAATGCATTAGCAGTGTAGAATTCGGGGGCGCTGGTAAATTCATGGTGACACTTTATTTGGCAGTCAGAATAAAAACAGCTTAGGTCTCCACGAGAAGTCGAATGCATAAAAGTAGCACACCGCTTATCAGAAACAGTTCGGCGTTCTATGGTAAGGGCAATTCTTGTTGCGGCAGTTGAGATAGTCACCCGCCTGCTAATAACACTTTTCGCATCTTGGATAGGTCAATGGCTTTGCGAAATTGGCGTGGTTGGTGGATTGTGAGGACTTGGACATTGTTCAGATGGTTTTTTTTAAAAAAAAGAAAGAAACTTGGGAGCTCTGAAAAATTGATGAATTTGGGTATGACCGATTTGTCGGTGACAAGGGCAGGGTAACTAGGCTTGCAACGTGATGAGTTCAATTCAATCTGTAATAATCCTTTTTGAGGTATCAATGGTCATTGGTTTCCCACGGGGCCTTGAGGGACCGAGAGACTCCATGTCTGTATATACAAGAAGCCAGTGAGCGTTAGAGGCCTAAGGCAGCTCTGGCCTAAGGGCCCAACCTTGGTCTCGTGATACCTTTGCTGTTGTGTCACCGTCATTGGCCCAACGCCTTTATTGTGTCCTCACCGTGAGACAGTCCCTGGTTGTGTTCAAGTGTAGTAGGTTTTTGTTCTGCTCTGTCGGGTCCCTCGTGTTGGCTGGATCGCGTGGGCCATGGTCTGAAGTGGCTGGGTCGACTACCCATAATTATGGACGATCTGGGTTTGATAAGCGCGCGGTAGGAGTCCGATATTTCTTTGCGATTGGTCATTAAGGCGCCATTTCCCCCTTGGAAGGCGGCCCGTAGGTTGTGAGCGGGAATCTAAACCGCTGAGACGTTGAGAAATGTGATGTAACTTGAGGTACCAGTTGCCAGTCTGCCCGGAATTTATCACCTTGCCAGTATTTTCAGAAGTGGAGCATCAAGCCATCGTCAACCTGGAGAAGCTTGTTGTAGAATCCATAATAGAAATGGAGAGTCATCAAGAAACGAGGCCACCTACGGGTAATCTAGGAGCGAACATGGTACTGAATCCGAATATGACGCGTCTTTCCACTTACATGGCTTTTCAGGGCGCAGAGATCACTCATTGTCATTATATGGCTTCACCAAGAAAAAGTCTTTGGGCGAGCAAGATGGTTGTAAAGCTCATAATGGGGAAGAGCGTCACTTGGGAACAGATGACAGAGGTGTATGGCACCATGGCTCTTTTCTAGACGATTGTCATTCATCCTTAGTCCTGTTTTGTCGTCACAGGGGTACTTATTATGCGCAATGTGTAAATACTTGCGCTACTGTTTCTTATAAAAGCAATGCCCTTGCCCTAATTACACTTTGCAGAACATTCAGGCCGTAGTATTGCTCTTGTCTGCACTAGAGGTAATGCCTCTCCTGGGGACGACGGTATCACTGAGTAGCGTGGGCTGCAGGGTCAACCTCACTTTCCTCACAAACAGATAGCATACAAACAGACATAGTTGTAAGCCGTACTCTTTCCAAGATATACGGTGGGACGTCTCCCTACTCGTCTATCTCTGATGTTAGGCGTGATGTAGTGCTCTAATTTGTGGTCTTGGATCGGAATAAAATAAAAGGTACATAGATATACACATGTTTAACGAGCTGGGACCCTCTCAAGAGAGCGTCAACACTCGACGCTGGCTATATTAACGAAGTTTCAGTAAGTTTTTTGTCACATACAGACAAACGACTAGATCCTAGCGCGAGGACCCGAAGGAAAATGGCAAGGGCTCACAACGAGTTTCGTGTAAGGCACTTATAGTGCCCTAGCTGTACCCTAGTCGCTACCTAGCATACTCATGAACAGCCTTTTGCGGGAAATCGTCATCTACCGTTCGCTCTTCTCGCCAGAATCCCCTTCAATACCGCATAAAGCCCTTCCATAGAAGGAGGTGGCATCTCTCAGTCGTTATGTTTTCCCGCAAAGAATGCCGTAGATATCCAGTGTAGTCTGATATGAAATCTTCGTAGCCACCGTAGGTGTGACCAGAGCATTGGAAGTAGTGTAGTTTTGTAGTTTTTGTAGTTTCAAATATAAAAAATTATATTAAATCTAATAAAATACTTATAGAATTATAAGTTTTACGAATAACTAGCATAAATCTAAAATTATAAGCTTATAATTTTAGATTTATGCTAGTTATTCGTAAAACTTATAATTCTATAAGTATTTTATTAGATTTATTATTAATTATTTAAGCTTTTTTAAAAAATGAAAATGTAGTTTTCTTGTCAATGCTCTGGGTGTGATAAGGGCTCGGTTACGAGGGCTTGGAGCAAGGGCTTAATTTAGAGATAATCTGGTATAGTGTTAAAGGTCCTTAATTTCCTAAGAGAAATGAAGAGCGCGGTAACTATTATATATATATGAAAGGAATAGAGATACTAGAGGTGGTAAGTGCGCTATGTATTTAATTTAGGTAAGCTTATAGGTTTTATATTAGCGTTAAGCTTTATTAAGTTTTAATCGTGTAATACTAGCTTTCCTTTTAAAAAAGCTTACTTTAAGCTTTTAAAGCTATTTAAACTTTTAAGTTATATAGCTTATTTAAATAATTTAATTTAAATTATTATAATAATAATAAAACGCTCTCTTTAATAAAGTATTTATAAGGTTTTTAAGTCTAATAACGTTTTATAAGTTATTCTTTCCACTTAATTAAATATTTAATATAATTATTAGTCTTTTAAGAATCTATAATTACCTTTACCTAATAATTAAGTTTAACTGCTAATACCTCTCTAAGAATTTAGCTTATATTTAAGCTATTAGAATCTTCTTAATAAGGCTTAATTAATAAGATATAAAAGAAATTATAAATTCTTTAAAAGACTAATAATATTAATTTAATAATAAATAAGAAAATTACCTTAATTACTTTAAAGAGTTTAAGTATTTTTTTATTTAGCTTTTTAATAGATTACTTTATTTTAATATTATAAGTATTTAATATTATTAATTATTTTTCTTTATAAATTAAGGCCTTTACATGCTTTTTATTCGCTTAGTTTTTTATTCTTTATTAACTTTAATTAAAACTCTTTTTAATCTTCTTATATACTTATATTATCTAGTAAAAGTAAAATCTATTATTTAGGTTATATAGCTACCTGTAACGGTAGCTTAGGTTCTAAGGCATAGTAGGTCTATTTCTTAGAAAGTAAGTTAGGTTAAATGCTATAGAGTAGCTTTTTAAGTAGTATTATAATAAGGCTATTAAGAGTATAACTCTTAATAATAAGACTATTACTTAAATTAATTAATAAAGAACTAAACTATTTAACTATAAAAATACTTTCT